CATTTTCTAACTTTTTTGTTCTTCAATATTTTTCATTTATTTTTGGAATATTAATAGTGACCTTTCCATTGATGCTTACTATATAAGTTGTTTTAGTATTGGTTAATCTGAACTCTAGATATTAATATTTGAAAATCTGAAGCGGGCCCAAGATGGCGGCTGTCTTTGTCTACTCCGCCATTTCGCGAGTAGGGGTTTATGGAGGCAGCTGAGCGTTTGATTGAACCATTCGGATATAAGGACACATGAAATGTGAAAAATTACCTGGACTTTCACGTAGTAGTACGTTGCAATTGAGTGTCAATCTTGAAACTTAATTTCCGTTTCACTGCTTTAGTGTAACTGGGCTAGATACGATATGTAATGTGTACAATGTGTTAAATATACTTTCTTAACGTCGAAATAAAATAAAGGCCATAAGAACGTTTTATTCATTTAATTTCATTGAAGCTATCACACCTATTTAATAGATCAGTCCAAAGAAAAGGCGCGAATATTTACTCGTGGCATTTAGCGCAAAATTATGAATAGTGGTCCGCCTTTTATAATTCTTAGACAAATGTACTGTTGCAAAAGTATACACAAGTATATTTAGAACAGTGTTCCCAATTATAGCATAATTGTTTGCGCGTTAGGGATAAAAGAGAAAAAAAAAGAGCATTCACGTTGGCGACCTGAGTTCAGTCCTCCTTGTGACCAAAATTTTGAAACACTTTTCAGCTTAATTTTACGAGTTTTTTTTCCTGAATCGGACGGAAGACCTCTCGTTGCTCGCAACGAGATCGTATCCCCTTGAAAATGTTAGAACGGAGAATTTATTAGGTGTTCACATTGATCATACTCTTCAATATACTAGTCATGTAGATGCAGTTTGCAAAACCCTTACTTATAAATTATTTACTTTACGAAAAATTAAAAAGTTTCTACCGTTGCATACTAGAAAGCTATTTTATAATGCATTTATTTTACCATCAATTTTATATTGCCTTTCTATTTGGGGTAACTCACCTCAAACTCACATCGATAGAATCTACAGACTTCAGAAACGAGCAGCTAGGATTATTTTAAATGAAAAATATGATGCACCTTCAATGCCCTTGTTTAACATTTTAGGCTGGTTAACGGTTTACGAACTTCTATATTTACAGAAAAGCATTTTGATGTTCAAAATATTTCATAATATGTCTCCGGATTATATGCATGATTTTTTTGAATTTCAAAGTTCTGGATCATACACGTTACGCTCAGAGACAAATTCAGAACTTCGTTTACCAAAATATAAAACAAATTTATTCAAAAATTCTTTACAATATTCAGGGGTTATTATTTGGAATGAGTTGCCTATTAGTATTAGGAATTCCCAATCCCTTGCGATATTTAAAAGTAGTGTTGAAAATTTTTTACTTATGAAACGTACTGGTTCTACATAAAATTTATGTTTTCTTTTCTTTACAATGAAATGTCCATATTTAATTTATTCTGGTGTAACAAAGTGTTTATATTTTATTGTTTCATGTTTGTAATTCTTGTCTTTATTGTATAAAACATTGTATATATGTTATAAAGAAGGCCCTGAGGAAGACTAGTGCTTGCACTAATCGGGTTACCTTCTATAAATAAAGTATTATTATTATTATTATTATTATTATTATTCTTTTTTCTTCTTATTTCTTCTCCGGTACTTTTTTGTCCGGAAGTGTTCTCAGAAACTGTTCACCAAACTAAGTTAAAACCTTTTTAGGGTTAATGGGTGTGTAGTGTAGGTGTGCGGAACGAAGGTCATTTTGCGCGCATACGCCTGCACGTGCGGGCGCGTGAAGTGAGTGAAATGACTGATATACTTAATATAGCTATAACTTTTACAGTTTTTTATGAAATGCTTTGAAACTCATTACATAAAGATATATTAATAGTGTTAATATCATGACACTGTCAAATTAGCACGAACTCACGCGCGTGCACGTGAGCTTCGCTCTGATTGGCTGAAACAAAAATCTCAATATCTCTTTTGTTTTTTGACGAAATGCTTTGAAATTTTAAACATAGTAATGAACTAAGATATTCTACAATATGATATCAAAAAAATTTCAAGAAATCACGCGCATGCACGTGTGCTGCAATCTGATTGGCTGAAACTTTAAATGGCTATATCTCCTTTGTTTTTTGATGAAATGCTTTGAAATTTAAAATATAGCCATACTTTAGAATACCCTGCAATATGGTATACAGAAAAATTAAAGAAATTACGCGCATGCACGTGTGCTGCATTCTGATTGGCTGAAACTTTAAATGGCTACATCCCCTTTGTTTTTTGACGAAATGCTTTGAAATTTAAAACATAGTTTTACGTTAGGATATCCTGCAATATGATATACAAAAAAATTCATGAAATCACGAGCATGCACGTGTGCTGCAATCTGATTGGCTGAAGCTTGAAATGGCTATAACTCTTGTTTTTCAACCAAACAGGATGGGATTCAGAACATAGATAAATATAAGGAACTCCTAAAAGAAGGTATGGTTATCATGCACGTACACACACGTGCGTGCATTTGGAACGGGTGAAATTAAAAATACACTTAAATGAGTGATTTTTAGCCGGGCTTATTGCTCAAAGAGCAATTGCCGGCTTATGGGATCCTGTTCAAGGCAGGATGTTGACCCCATAGTCGCCATTTTAAAGTTACGTGCAAAAATATAGTTCTTACTCTCAACCGCTTTTGAGATAATACAAACGCTAAATAAAGCAACAAAAATAAAACGAAGTTTTATCTATATAAAATAAACATTAGTAGTAATGACTTTGAAAACTTCATAAGTCAAAGAACATAGTTCATTAGCGTAAGGATTTTTGATAATCAGTGTTACCGTAGTTCTCTACACATACGAGGTAAAGCAGGAGAGGGAACCAGAGTGACCTGTTTGTTTACATTCAGCTGCGGTACCAGATTAATTCTGATTCTGACAAAATCGGACCGAGGTATTAGGATTGAAAACTCACTGTCAGTGTCTTATCATTTATATTGATAGTTTTAAAATAATTTTTTCATCAGAATATAAACGTGATTCATGTAAGAAATCCATTCTACTCTGTAAATGAGCCCGGCTCTCTGTACTTCTGAGTACTTTGATTAATACTTTTGGACTGAATGCTTTGATATATAGTATATTTAAATATATAGATAGTGTAGACAAGATGATATGGTAATAACGCACATGCATTCACATGCGCACGGGTGCAATGCTAAAATTTGAATATAATTGGTATCCTTCTGGGTAAATTTTGTTAAAGTCTAAATTACCAGAATTTGTCTTATTTAATGAAGCTTACAGGGAATATGGCACCAAAAGGGAGTTGGGGAGCGTTTGGGGAACATCTGTAACGGTTCCCGTTACAATTAGCACTAGTTGTAATTGTATTTGTTACTGTAAGTTTCATTGATGTATAAGAGCCACTGCTCAAGAAATTTGTCCCAGTGATATGCTTATTAGTGTTTACTGAGTGATGAACTTCAAGGATTTTCTTAAGAAAAAAATGAAAATTATTCAGTGGATGTAAATATGTATTATGTACATGTACAAAGTACCTTAATAAACTTAATATGAACAATATTTTAATTTTATTAATTTAACTACAGATTCTGTAGAGATTTCCCTCACACACCTTTGTTAAGATCACCTTACATATTCACCTTGTGAGATTAATTTACCTCTGATGAGGTTGCCGTAATATAACTGAGCTAGGATTACCTTCATACACCTCTGGTGAGATTATCCCCAGCATCCGTGTGTAACAGATACCAGGGATTTCCTTAACGATATCCTCTACCGTCAGGTCGGGATTATCTCCCCTATCAATGGCGACCTGAGCCTGTCTAACAATGTCCTCTTTTACCTGTCAGAAAAAAATACAGGAGTAAATAGCAAGGATCTTAGGTAGTATTGAGTTATCATTATAATAATTGTTAATACCTATGTACAATAAAACAGGGGGTGGTACAACACATTACTTAACTAGTTGTTATAATTTTACTCAATCTTTGCTTTTTGTTAAAGAAAAAAAAACACAGTGATCTTGAATTTACATCCAGGAAATATACAAAATCAAGTAAATTGACTCTATAAGTAGATTGAACAATGTCAGATGATGTCTTCATCTCGAAGTACCATGCTAAAACATTTAGCAGAGACAAAAAAATCAAAATATATATAGCCTTTTTTTTTATTTTCAATACTAAGTAAACTTACAAATGTAGCTGGAATCTAACATACAATTATGCACTATATCTTGATAAACATTATTATCATCAATTTAAAGTTTGAAATAATTCACTTTCAAACATACAAATTAAAGCTGTTGTAATAATCAGTATTTTTTGGAGGGGAGGGGGATTTATCCCTCTTTACATATAGTAAGGGGTGGAGTAAAATTCTAACATTTGTATTCTAATCCTGGCCCCGGGATCATGAAGCATCTTAAGCTTAAGTCAAAATGTTCCTGTTGTACATAAATATTGTAGTAGTTAAACAGACCAAAACCAAAGTGTTTTACAATATTGTTTTGCAAAAGTGTTGTCATTTGCAAAATCAGAGATTAATTCAATAAATAATGAATATTTTACAGGAGATTGAAAATTTGACTTAAGTGTAAGTTTGTTTCATGATCCTGGGACCAGATCTACCTGGAATTCTCATCAGCGAATCCATTCTCTCATTTTAAGAGTAAAAGGTTGAAAATATTACTTCCTCAAAACTTCTGAATCAGTGAAGTTGATAATATTTCTCTAAATTCCCAGACTTCAAATGTTATAACATTTGGACATCCATATCTCAATTACTACTGATACTTCAATGTTAGTTGAAAGTTCAAACATTTTTTCTTTACTTAATTTAACCTAATTATTTAAAATACTGGGATATTGTCAAAATATTTTTTGATCATTTGAGTTCAACATATCAAGGTTTGACTGTCTTGCCATACATCATTTAGTGATGGATCTCTGTCTAGGAATGTGGGTTGTCTGGAATGTGAGCCCTTGTTTGGGATGTGGGCCTTTGTCCAGGATGTAGGCTTTTATTGAAAATATCACCTAGTTTTTGGGATGTGGGCCTTAACCTAGGATGTGAGCCCTTGTTTGGGATGTGGGCCTTTGTCTAGGATGTAGGCTTTTATTGAAAATGTCAATAATCTTTGATCTGAACATTTTTCTGGGATGTGGGCCTTTGTCTGGGATGTGGGCTTTTGTCTGGGATGTGGGCCTTTGTCTGGGATGTGGGCCTTTGTCTGGAATGTGTGCCTTTGTCTAGGATGGGAGTTTTTGTCTGGGATGTAGGCCTTTGACTGGGGTGTGGGCCTTTGTCTGGGATGTGGGCCTTTGTCTGGGATGTGGGCCTTTGTCTGGGGTGTGGACCTTTGTCTGGGATGTGGGCCTTTGTCTGGGGTGTGTGCCTTTGTCTGGGGTGTGGACCTTTGTCTAGCGTGTGTGCCTTTGTCTGGGATGTTTGCCTTTGTCTAGGATGGGAGTTTTTGTCTGGGATGTGGGCCTTTGTCTGGGATGTGGGCCTTTGTCTGGGGTGTGGGCCTTTGTCTGGGGTGTGGGCCTTTGTCAGGGGTGTGGACCTTTGTCTGGGATGTGGGCCTTTGTCTGGGGTGTGGGCCTTTGTCTGGGATGTGGGCCTTTGTCTGGGGTGTGGGCTTTTGTCGTAAATATCATCTTCTCTGGGATGTAAACCTTTTTTCTTAAAGTTTGGCCTTTATTGTCAATATTATCTGATCTTGAATATTTACATTAAATATAAATATTTCTTTGTGTCTGGAATATGTACCTTTATTGTACATATTACCAATTTGTTTGAGACTTAAGGTAGGTCGCGGGTTTGCTTTTGTCATCAATTTTGGTACACAATTTTGACGATTCGAGCGGTTGTTTTGTGCACATTTGATTATGACGTCAGCTACGTCACAAAGGCAACGTCAAGTTGTTTCCCGTTTAATTCTCTGCAAATGACTTCAAGTTTGTACAAATTTAAAAGTAGATTTAACACAAAATGCATGCTTTTGTATGTAAACCTCTGCATGTTTTATAATTGAACTTCAGTCTGAATTCTGGTGTGATTATATGTAATGTCTTAGGACTAATTAAATACAATACCAAATGAAAGCAACAAATTATATTTGAAGTGTAACTAAACTGCAAAAGTCAATCAGAATAAATCAGCGTAAAAGTTATGGCTTGCAGAATTTTTAAAGAAAGTTATCATGAATAAAAAAAATTGCTTAGCGAAAAATAGAGGAATTGTATGTGCGCACGTTATTTGAAACTCAGGGGAACTTGACTTCAAATCAGAGACGGGGCGAAAATATGCGTATACTTTTCAGGATGGAAATAAATCCTCATCACTAAAAACGAGTTATATTTAATTACAAGTATTTTCCTGGGTTTTTTTTAATTATCACTACTAATATTGGTTGGTTGTTATGTATTTAAATCTCGTGCACTCGCCTTGTTTTGCTTGCTAATAAATTGTGAAATCATTTAAAAATCAAATTTATTCAAACACCTGGATTTTAAGACTTTAGATGCGGTCACACGATGCAACTTTTCATCCGATATTCCATCCGATTTTTCAATCCAAAACACTGTAAACAATTTACAAGTATAATTTTTTTTTTCGTTTTAGTGATATTTTTTATGACAAAAGCTCAATGTGTAAAAGCTAAAAGCAAGTATTTTACATTTTGCGTATTGAAATTTAATTCAGAGATTTTTTATACTGTGTTATATTGCCGCATTGTCCTCTTACTAATATATGCTCAATGCTCACGTCAGTTTTGATGTTTTTCAGCCAGCACTCGACTTCGATAAATTTTGCCCCATATACACATACATATTCTCCCGAAAATGTGGCATAGTCTCCGACAAAGTAATTACACTCTGACAAGCACTGGTAAATAAAACTAGAGGTACTGTGAGCGATGAGCTCACTAAATGATACCCCCCGCCTCCCATATGGTTATAACTGGTGAAAAAGTCCATATTTTCCTGTGGCCAGGAAACCGAAAATATGTGTCGGATCAAAAAGTAAAATAGGAGGTGCACAGTGGCAATATGTAACAAAGATTCTGTGAAAGTTTCATCAAATTTCATTCAGTGGTATGAGAGGAGTTGCGGATAAGAGATGGGTACCCCAAAGCGTAACAGACGGACGGACGGACGGACAGACGAACGGACGGACGGACGGAATTAACGATTACTATATACCCTCCCGCTTTTCAAGCGGGGGGTATAAAAATGCTTGAGATTTAGAGCCATATAATATAGCTTGCGACTAATATAGAACGAACATTGCAGGTCCCCCCATCCCCTGCCCACTTATTTCCTCATTATAGGGATGTTTTTCCTACCGTTTTCAAATAAATGTCAAATTTTTATTTTACGCCTGAAATCCCATTGACCATGTTTTTCCTTAAAGTACAGGTACTAATATTTTTCCAATCGCGATGAACATTGTCGCTGCATGTTAATGTCGCTGCACGAGGATTATTTATACCGTTCATTCTGACTTAGTGATCAGAATATGAATTTCACAATACAGTGAAAATAAGTTGCTGGTCATCCTAATATGCCTCCGCAATAAATCAAATGATGAATAAAAATAAATTTTGTATCGATATCACCTTTTAATTCTTGCATATTCCATAGGTTAATATATTTATACTCATAATGTAAACGTGACTACGTTCAACAAATGACGTTGTAGATATAAATAACGCCATAAACACCAAATTTTAGCATTTTAAAAGAAAACTTTGAAATTATTTAGCAAAAAATCTAGCGAGAAGACATATTTATTTTTTTATATTAATGGTTTTGATTTTACCTCATCTTGACATTTTGAAATTCCTGAATAATTCGTCTACGTCTTTAAAAAGTTATCCAACCTTTTTAAAAGAAACTATTTTCAAAAATTGGCTTAAAAACGTCATTTCCCCATATATTTCAATGGTTAAAGCGTCAAAAAGGATTAAAAACTATACCGCGTTTACAGTACTATAACAATAAAACTACTTAGGCAAATTTAATAAAAATTGCAGCTGATACGCTTTAAATTCTAAGGAACATTTTATCAAATTTTCAGGATATGTTTTCTCGTCAGAATTTTTATGCAGTAAACCCGCGACCTACCTTAAGCCTATATTATTTATGTTACCTTGACTGGGATGTGAGCAAGGCTAAAACTTTTGATGTCAAACTGTGACAGAGCTTTGAAGGCAGCCCTGCTAACATCAGGGTCACTGCCTTGGACAAAGAGCCAGAGGGCTGACACAGCATACTGATGGAACCTCTACAAGATAGGAAAGTTTAAGTGACATAGTTTTCCTGAAAGAAAATTATCCTTTCAAAAAAATAATTTCAGAAGATATAATTAAATATTATGTGTTGCACTGAAAAAAAACCTCCGGATTAAACTCTGAAACTGCTAAAGAAAGCAAGAAATTGGGTGATAAGAAGCCCATAGGCCCCAATGCTCATATGTCTAAAAATGGCCATTCTTGTTCTTTTGTTGGGAGATTCGTCTTTAGGGATGTGCGATTTTATTGGTATACCAGTATATCATGATTTTTTGTTGTGTGATTCGTATCGTGACACAGAGACCTAAATACCGGTATTTAGGTACATATTGTAAAGTCCAGAAATTATTCATTTATTTGTTAAATCTTTCAAATTACAATTATACAGAGTTTAAAAAATGTTGTAAAAGTGAAAAGAACAGCAACTTATCATCCAAACATGATTAATTTTATGTACATAAAAATTTCAAAAAAGTGAAATTTTGTTATTTATGTGCTCGGATTGATAGATCCGGGGCGTATATTGTTTTTGTCCTGTCTGTCTCTTTGTCTGTTTGTTTGTTTGTCTGTTTGTCTGCAAACTTTAACCTTCGCCATAACTTTTGAACCCATACCAAATATGAAGTCTCTATCTCTCATGGTTCAAAAGTTATGGCTAAGGTTAAAGTTGACAACAGACAGACAGACAAACAGACAAACAGACAGGACAAAAACAATATACGCCTTGGATCTATTGATCCGGGCACATAAAAAGTTAACAATCATTTTAAAAAATTGACTTTGTGGTCTGTATATAATTAAGCAAATTCTTTGAAATGTACTGATTTGATCTGTTTGAGTGATTGCTTGATTCTTTCTTTGTCTTACAGATACAGATTTTACACTTGATTCATATCCTGAATTCTTCTTTCTATATTGGTTTTTTTTTTTATTTTTGGTTTCCTTTGTTGTATTGAATTTCTTTTTCCAATATCCCATACCTCAAATTCCTCTGTCTTCACTTCCAGTTCTGGTAGTAAAGAGAACAGCTTGCAGATTTTCTCCTGAACTATCGATCTATTTACAAAAGAAGGAAAACATAGGTAATCAGAGATTACAGAGCTCACCTCAACGAATGTTGTCTTTAAGTAAGGCAAAGTCACACAATTAACCAACAAAAAGTGTACATTCCAAAAATGAAAATATTTAAGCAATTTTCATCTGAATTACTTTGAAATAGACGTACATAAAAAATTTAAACTAGTTCTTCTTCATGAAAATGTAATTAAAATCCAGCATCTGAAGCAAATTTGAGAGTTTTCATCTCTTGATGCAACTTTTGTGCAAGTTTGGTTTATACAATGTTAAATAAGCCTTATAGTTTTTTTGGTAATAGACCTGCACCTGTAACTTTTACCTGGTCTATTATCTGAAAAATGTATGTCGAATTCAGAATCCGAAGCAAGTCCATTAGTGTGCATCCTAAGATGTATCGTCCATGCAAGTTTGCTCATTATAGGGCTCATAGTTTATTGGAAATGAAACATGCATCAAAAACTAACATTAAATTTCACTCATCCACAAAAAGTAGGTCAGATTCAGCATCCGAAGCAAGCCTGGTAGTATGCATCCTTTTATGTATCATCCACGCAAGTTAAGTCATTATTGGGCTCATAGTTAATTGGAAATGAAACCTGCATCAAAAACTTTAACCTGTTCACTCAACCGGAAAATGTAGGTCAGATTCAGCATCCGAAGCAAACCCGGTAGTATGAATCCTTAGATGTATCATCCATGCAAGTTTGGTCAACATAGGACTTATAGTTACTTGGAAATGAAACCTGCACCAAAAACTTTAACCTGTTCACTCAACCGGAAAATGTAGGTCAGATTCAGCATCCGAAGCAAGCCCGGCAGTATGCATCCTTAGATGTATCATCCATGCAAGTTTGGTCAACTTAGGGCTTATAGTTACTTGGAAATGAAACCTACACCAAAAACTGCACCAAAAATGTTAACCTGCCCCAAAAACATTAACCTGGTCATTCCTTTGCTGAAATTTCAGCATCTGAAACTTTGACTGGTTCAATGAAACACAATAGAACCGTCTTTCATGCATGTCTAATCAATATAGGACATAGAAGTACTTAAAAAGAAAACTGCTCCAAAAAACTTAACCTGGGACGCCGACACCGACACCGACGCCGACGGGGACGGGGACGCCGAGGGTATTACATAAGCTCCCCCAACTTCGTTGAGGTGAGCTAAAAATTCAATGTAAAAGCATGGCCATGTATTGTGAAGTTTCGCACGTTGACTAATCCTATTTCAAAGCCTCTACAGTAGATAAGAAGGCTTGTAAAAGACAAGACAAACAGATGAGCAGTGTAAAATGACTTAATGAGCACAACCATTCATTTAAACCTCACTGATCAATACTTTATTCAGGAAATGATCAGGGTTTTCATTCATCAATGTCCAATTTGTAGTTGGAACTTAACCATCCCCACAGCATAACAAATGATATTGATGAAGTAAAAATATAGATGTACTGCCCAGCAAAACCAGACACATACAAAAAAAGTTTCTGGTCAGTATCTGAAATCAAAGACTAAAAAAAATGCATAAAAAGAATGTAATATATGTGTCAGATTGTGTGATCTACGTGTTGTGTATTTGTTGTCAAAGTCAGGAAAAGTGAGATGTTTTCTACATCTTTAGATGTATGACAGTGGCTTGTTAGAATTTTCTTCAAATGAACAAAAGTATTCAGAATATACATTAGAGTTAATATGCAGTGATATTAAAAAATCTTGTAATAAATTGAACTGATTTTTTAAAATTAATCATACACCTAATACTTCCAATTTTAATCTATTGTAAAAACCAACAAAATTTACATGAGCACACAATTCTTCATGCAAGTTCATTCATCAATAAATATTTCAACAAAGGGTGTAAAAGTAAATATTTATGCTCTGTTCACACAGAGAGTTCAATTCAAATTAAACATAAGTTACTGCAAATTAAATTCAAATCCCGTTTACATGGAGAATATTTAATGTTGATGGGACCTGGATACGACTTCGAGATATCCGGGGGTTCAAGATATCCAAAGTTAACTTCCAAAGTTGAATCAATAATTTCCTGTTTAGTTTAATTCGAATTATTTACTGCCCATTAATTTACTTCACATGAGCTCTGTGTGAAAGCTAAGCGAAGCTGATTCAAATTTAATTTTGACACATACGCAAGGCCAGAATAAAGTCACAGGACACATGTTGGTGGTTTATAGATATAGGTACCTGTACTAAATTTGGTTCAAAAATCAAGGAAAAGTATGTTAATTTCTTAATATATACCTGTAGCCACTATATAATAATCATATCAAATGGATGGCTCTGCAATAAAATAAGTCTGCATACATGACATGATTTACAAATGATGTCATAATAGTCTTACTGAGTAGCCTTTTTGTTGAAATAAAATTTTATTTCGCATTAGTTTAATTCGCATTAGCTGTCATGTGAACGCAATTTAATTCGCATTATTTTACTTTGCATTTGTTTACTTCACATTAATTTACTGCGAATTAAACTATCTGTGTGAACAGGGCATTATTGAAACAAATACCCTTGAAAGGATATTACAATGAGAAACAGATTAAAGCAGGAGTCTCTCATGAGACACTAGCTCTACCAATTTGAAAGTCCCAGCTATTTATTTTTACGCTATTTTACCCTAAAAATTGCTAATCCTTAGATATCTCAGAGATTTGTCTTGTTCCAATTGAATTCAAAATGAGTTTTGACTGTATTCGAAACATAATGTAATACTACCAACATAAAGAGCCATATACCGTACGAGTAGAATTTTTAGTAAGGATTTAATTTTGGCATGATTAGCGAGGGTTCTGAGGTCGCTAAAATTTAATATCGCTAAAAATTAATTGCATTTTATTTGTAATGGTTTCTTTAGTTAGCATTTTTAAATCGCTAAAATGAACTCTCGCTAAAAATAAATTACCAACTTCTAAGGAGAAATCGCTAAATTTGCGTCTCGCTAAAATTTCCACTTATACGGTATTAACATAGAGGCCTCGATTTCAGTACATTTCAATATTTTGCTCGTTTTCCTATTAGAATCCCATATTATTGCCCTTTAATTTATACAATTTTTTTTCATTACTTCTAATGAAAGGAACATGATCCTTCATTTGAGCAAATTAGAAAGCTGCTTTGTGCATTTCATTGAAATTTGTCCCTTGGTTTGAGGAAATTTGTGAAATGCTACACAACAAATTCCAGGTGACACAGTTAAAAGTTTTTGCGAGGCTTGACTAAGGTGAACTGGTCTTATACCTGGAATCATGAGTAAGTTTTTCTCCTAACACAGACCACGCTGAAAGGATGTCAATCACCTGAAATGAAATAACATCAGTAAATAATTTTTTTGGGCTCTGATTACGAAAAATCTTTTGAATTATCATTTCTAAATCCACATAAACAAAAGATCTTACTCAATAATATGAAATATTGCATTTACAGTGCAATCTAAAGTAGCTAGACCAGTACTTTAACCTTGCATTGATGCAAAAACTTACTTCATCTTTACACAAGTAGTAAAGCCCCTCTAAGGCAAGGGAGGCCACCGGAGAATCCACTTCCTGTATGGAGTTTTCCAGTAATTCTGACAAGGGAGACAACATATCACTGCCATGCTGCTCTCCCCTGAAATAAAAACAAATAAATATGTGATATATACTGTAGACATTTCTTTTTACCTATTAAACAAAATTACACTTTCAAATTGATAGAATTACATCCTATTAAAGACAAAAAATCTCATGTCTCCACTTAAAGTTGATGAATACTTGTCAAGACTAGACAAACAGATGAGCAGTGTATATTGAAATGACTTTAAATGAGCAAAACCATTCATTTAACATGTTCTACTGTCAAGAAGGTTTCACAATCAGACGAATCTAATGTGTTTGTTACCGAAAGTAAAAATATAACAAGCAATAATGAATTTGGTTTGATGAAAAAAGGTTTAAAATTTGGAAACCTTAACATTTGCCACCTAATGCCAAAAATTGAAGAAATTAAAATTATGCTTCAAAACAAACAATCTCTTAATATTCTAGGACTTTGTGAAACCTTTTTGAATGAAAATATTAGTGATTCTGAGTTAAATATTGATGGCTTTGAAATGGAAAGGAAGGGCCGCACTTTGAGGGTAGGTGGTGGAATTGTTGTATTACATTTCTAAAAATATAAAATACAATCGTAGAACTGATTTTGAAATTGGTAATATTGAAACAATTTGGCTAGAATTAAATACAAAGAATTCTAAACCAATTTATTACTGTTCAGCATATCGTCCACCATCTGCTCCCTCCTGCTGGGCTGAGGACCTAGCTAGAGAGATTAAACGTGCCTCCTGCTGTGATGCTGCAGAAATTATCTTAACAGGTGACTTTAATGTAGACTTATTCAAAGAACCCCCACAAAGTTGGACATATGCTCTAGAGGAGTTTGGTTTTTCACAATTAATTACAGCACCAACCAGAGTAACTAATACCTCAAGTACCCTAATAGATCACTTCTACACCAATAAACCAGATAACATGTGTGAAGTAAATGTACCTTTTATAGCCATCTCTGGTCACTACCCAATATGTGCCACTAGAAAAACAAAATGCATGCAACAAAAAGGAAAACACATAGAAATTCAGTATAGAGACTTCAAAAAGTTTGATGAAAATAAATTCCTCCAAGACTTAAAAGATGTAGACTTTAGCATTCTCCTCCAGTTGCATGACCCTAATGAAATACTAACTGAATTCTATGAATTATTCAATAGCGTACTTGACCAGCATGCTCAGATTAAAACCAAACGAGTAAAGAGTGAAATTCGTCCTAAATGGTTGACACAAGAAATAAACAATGCTAGACACTTACGTGACTCTTACCACAAAGAAGGAGATATGGAGAACTATCGACTCTATCGAAACAAAGTTAGACTTTTTATAGACAAATCAAAATCTTCTTACTATAAAACAGCGATTGAACAGAGTTCAAATCCCAAAGAAATGTGGAACTATCTTAATCAATTAACGTGTAATTCAAAGAACATAACTCCATCTCATGTATTTTCTGATGGGGAAATTGTTGATAATCTACAGGATATTGCAAATACTTTTAATACCCACTTCACAGATGTCTCTAACAAGCTTCTTTTGGAAATGCCAAAACATGATTATGATCCTAATATATTATGTAATTTTGTTAGGTCTAAGCTTGATGAGGAAACCTTCTTTACTTTTCATCAAATTGAGGAAAGTGAAGTTTTTAACATGTTAAATTCTCTAAATGTCAATAAATCAGCTGGCATTGACTTTATTGGGCCGCGTCTTTTGAAAGTCGCATCTAAATATATATGTAAACCTATAACTCATCTTGTTAATGCTAGCATAGTAAGTGGTATTTTCCCGACAAATTTAAAACAAGCCAAAGTAACACCTATTTTTAAGAAAGGTGACAAAGCTGACCCGAATAATTATCGTCCTATTTCTATTCTACCAACTGTATCTAAATTGATAGAAAAACATGTAGCTAAGCTAATACAAAATTTCACTAATGAATTCGATCTTATTACACAATCCCAGTCGGGATTTAGGGCACTCCATTCTTGTCAAACTTCCCTTACAAAACTAACAGAAAGTTGGCTTAATGCAATGGATCGTGGTGAACTAATTGGAATTACATTTATAGATTTTAGTAAAGCATTTGACTTGGTGAATCATGACATTCTTCTAGAGAAATTAACCCATTACAAATTTGACCAAACAGCTATAAAGTGGTTTAAATCATATCTTTACAATATAGGACCCAGTGTGTTAAATTTGGAACATGTGTCTCCAATACTCTACCCGTCACAGCAGGAGTACCACAAGGGTGAATTTTAGGTCCACTTTTATTTTTATTGTACATAAACGACCTTCCTTTACATGTAAACAATTCAAATATTGATATGTTTGCTGATGATGTTACTTTGTACTCTAATAATCATAATGCAAGATGTTTAGAAAATACACTAAATTCAGATCTTTGTGAAATTGAGAAATGGTGTGCTCAAAATCAAATGGTATTAAATGTAGATAAAACGAAATGTATGTAAATGGGAACACAACAAAGAAAATCAAAACTAGAAAATCCAAATTTACAACTTTATGCCTCAGACAAAACAATTGAAATGGTTGAAACTGAAAAAATTCTTGGTGTACATATTGATGATAAGTTACAGTATGCGAATCATATTGATTCGGTCTGTAAAACTTTAAATTATAAGTTATTTACTCTTCATAGGATTAAAAAATTTCTCCCTCTTCATACCAGGAAACTATATTACAATGCTTATATTTTACCATCTATTAACTATTGTTTGACTGTTTGGGGTAATGCCCCTAAGAAGGACATGGACAGACTATTTAAACTACAAAAAAGGGCAGCAAGGATTATTCTTGATGCAAGTCCTGATTCTTCATCTAAACCACTATTTGAGAAACTTGGATGGTTAACTATTTATGAGCTAGTTGATCTGTACAAATACATATTATTATACAAAATTTTCAGCGGAATGACTCCCGAATATCTTCATAATTTATTTGAATTTCATTCTTCAACTTCCTATAACCTGCGATCTGAAACTAATTACGATCTTAAATTACCAAAATTTCATACAAACTTATTCAAGACCTCTTTTCAGTACTCAGGTGTACATCTATGGAATAAACTTCCACAATACATTAGACTCTCTCAATCTTTACAAGCATTTAAACGTAATGTAGAAAATTACATTATCAGCCGTCACTCAATTATTTGAGCATATGTTTATGATCGTCATATTTCTGTATTGTCATATTTGTGTACATGGACACTGTATTCATAATTTGTGATTGTATTTCCTATTATATATGATGAATTGTATCTTGTATCTTTTTGTAATTGATGTATAGAGGGCCCTGGGGAAGAATAGTGCATGCACTAACCAGGTTACCTTCTTTAAATAAAGTTTTATTATTATTATTATTATTATTATTATTAATTAAAAAAATCTAGGAAAGTCTTTATAAAATTTATTCTGTGGTATAGAGGGAGTCGCAAATAAGAGATAGGTACCAAAAATGTTATAATGAGTATCTAGCCAAGTGCTTCTTGAGAAGAAGATTTTTTAAATGAATCCACCAAATTGTTACTTTTTCAAAATCATCTCAATTGTATAGGTTCTACAGAACAAGAGAACTACGCTTTTAAAACTCAAAGACAATCAATGCTACCTGCTTAGTATCAAATGATATATCATTATAGGATTATGTACACTAGCTATTATCTTCCTTCATTTTTACGACCACACACATGGACCTTTCTGTGGAGATGTTAATAAACAGGACAGATAATAATTTAAAAATGGCATGTTTCTTGGATCATGTATCACATGCATTATTACACTGATGCATCACCCCACAGCAGCTCTTTATGAAGGTTACAGTGTCTCAAATACAAATCAACTTTCAATGTCAAGAGTTTTAAAAATTGGTTTTGTCATTAGAAATACACCTCTGAAATATGAAAGCCCTTGTAGCAAGTCAACCACACAGATATTATAGTTAATATAAAAGTTTTTCAAAAACCTTATGCTCCTTAACTAAATGAAGGAACTTGAACGAGATAACAAATGTTTTGTTGTATAAAAAATAAATAAATCAAGAAAATACAATTTCAACCATTACCATTCAACAACTTACAGGTAACTCTTGATACCTTGAAGTCCGCGGGACTGAGGAAAAACTTCAAGAGATCAAGAGTTCAAGTTTTCAAGAGTCCGGAATTTTCCGGGTTTATTTGACAGGTTTTAAAATTAGTCTTACTGGATGTAATGATTTTCATGCAGTGCTAACCTTTTACATGTGGTTTTTATAAAACAACAATATGTTTTCTTATTTTAGATGAATATTTGTTAAACTGAGTAAAGCAAAAAATGTACATCATCAGTTCATGTTTATTTATTTATTCTTTATAATATGGGTATCATACTATGCATTTGTTACACAATTTACAGTGTCGTGTGGTACATAGCATACTGTGACTTTTCCAAACATGTGAATTGAACGAAGTTCTGTAAGTATTTGTCCAACAACAGTTGTCATATTGACATTGAGGCTGTTTCTGAATTTTCATATTTCGTTAAAATTTGACACTGATTCGAAATAAAAATTTTAATTTATTAAGTGTTTCGATCGTCTTGTAATCTGCAATTACAATTTCTCAGTGACACTGCATTTCTAAATTAGGACGATTTTACCCTTACTTTGGACTTTCAGTAGGCGTGACTTTCTCAGCGCTACGTAATAGCGAATACTAGTAGATTGTCATTGGTTACGAAATTAATAACATCAGGAACTTAAAATTGTTGTTGATAAAGATGAGACGACTTATGCCCCACCTCTGTGCCGTGAGAGAACTTTTAATTGGCTATTTACTACACCAGTTGACATTCAGCCGCATTTCTATCATATGTATATTTCAACAGTGAAGGGAAGCTGTGTAAATTTCAGAAGCTAATTAGGTAACGTCGAGAATGCCACGCCTTACTGAAAGTCCAAACTCAGCATGTTATGGTAATATCGTAATAAAGTCAATGATAATTATATTAATAGCATCTAGGCAACATAAGATTAATTATAATTCAATTATCACCTTGCAGTATAAGTGTCACCTGAATAATCATCCCGTTACACGAGACCCGCGTCTTCTGCCTGGGGCCATTAAATGCCCAGGTAAAGTTGCTAATTATGTAATTTTGTATATACATAGCCACTTAAAGGTATCGAAGGTAAATTTCAAGAGAATATGCATAGCGGGACTACATTTTGACTTCGAGGGATCAAGGGTTTCGAGAGATCGAGAGTTCGAGAAATCAAGAGTAAATTTGCTTAGTTATATAGGGGAACAATACGGGACCGAAGACTCACTTCGAGCAATCAAGAACTTCGAGAGATCGAAGTTCGAGCGATCAAGAGTTACCTGTATCTTTATCCTATGTAAATCGGTTCAGTTGACAACAACTGTCCCAATCCTTTTTTTTTTAATTATGCCATTATGTTCTTTTAAAAGTTGCTATGGTATCATTATGTCACCAAAAAAAAATCATGTTCTTTGCAAATTACAGATTCTCTTTTTTTTTTTTTTTTAAAAATGACAGCAGTTTTTCAATGAAAAATTTCAATGCAATGTTTTCCCCCAACTAAGACCATTTTAGTTCAATTTTTAATCCATGGAGTGAACTATCAAGTGAAATGAATGTACAGATTGATTACCGTAGAGACGACATTACATGCCATAACAACTCTGATCTAGGGATATCAAGCTATCATCAAAAGTAATACGTCCAGCAATATTAATAAAATCACCCTGTGACCAGGAGTCATCAAGATTTACAGTGCACAGATGTAAATGACTGTCTTGTGCACTGAAATACATCGTCTGTAATCTTGGTGATAAAATGACTGGGTCTTCATTGATATTGTGCTTTATATTTGAGAAATTGGACTCGGAACAGCAGGTCTAAATCCTCCTCTGCTGTGCCCTCCGCGATCCCACAGAAAACAAGAGGTCAGAGCCTGCTCAGATTAAGAGTGGCCAATAATGACAATCTCTGTCAAGGTCAAACACTGCTTAACGCTGTTTCTATCCTAATGTCACAAATCAAGCAAATACACTCATAATAGTGTGGTGATAAATGAGATTTTTTCTCCGTTTCTTTGAAAAGAAATCAATTGAGACAAAAATATCAAATTCCAATCATTTTCATGTTGTTTATGTAACAAAACAGGACTTATTATACCTCTATTGCTATTACTCTATAAAATTAATACCATAAATCTGTCTATCTCCCTGAGAAGATTTTACTTCCTTCATTTGAGGACTACTCCCTGCAAAATCAGAGCTACTGCATAGAACTATTCCTTCATGAATATTCATTAGTAACTTTGATGTCAAAACATTCCGACATGCAAAGTCAAAATTATACTGAAATCTTAGCAAAATGAAAACAACAATAATTCTTTATATATTTAAATACATATATTAGGGATGTCAACGAGTACCCGGTTAACCGGGTACTCGATCGAACGTCCGAGTATCGAATACTAAATCTGGTACTCGGTTACTCGGATGTGGGTTTTTTTCTTATTCAAAAGTACAAATATTTATCAAAAAACTTAATCAAATATTAACTGAAATGTGCATATAATAATTAGAGTACCGTCGCCTACACCTTTAAAAGACCCGTGGGTTTGTATACAGTAATTATTGACCAATTACCTGCTTTTCTACCTTTTGAGGTCCTTAATTTTTGGATGGCTTCAATGATTTGTTTTCATTGAGGGTCGTTTAAGTCTGTTCTGTTATCTTTAAATTCTTTTTAAATTATTTGGTAAACGGTACCGAAATCTGACATGCGTAGGTATGCCGCTACCGACTTAAAAATGTAAAGAAATATTTTGGGAATACATGTAATTGAAGAAAAATGCTTAAAGTCAGGTAGACGGAGTAAATTTAGTGTATATGGGGTAAACAACAATAATACAAGACAAGCGATCCCATCAATGTCCGTTCCTTCTGTTTCGTTAGTGTGATCATTACATAGAGGCGTAGCAGATTGATTAAAGCGTCGTCCCAAACAAAAAATATAAATCATTTGTAATTATTTGTGTATCAAATATATGTCTTTCGTGTGTGTATTTTTTAAAATAAATAAATTAAGTACAATGAATCATTTTCGTAGAACTCGATGTTTTAAAACATGCACTAAAAACTAATAAAAACAGCATTTGGGGTTAACACAGCTTAACTGTGTTTAAGAAAATTAAGAGACATGTACATATATTTACAATTTTACCGAGTACCCGGGTTCTCGATCGGAAAAACGTCCGAGTAACCGATTAACAAATATTGACCGATTTGACATCCCTAACATATATATATATTATTTTCCTTTGTATTGATGCATTAGATATCTAATGAAATTTAGTTAACTCAGTCTATAAAAAGTGGTGCCATTTGAAGATTAACAATGTTTGGATCCATAGCCTCATTTATTATAAGCTGGATAAGGAAAAGGTGCTACACAGACAGACAGATAGCTAAACAGACAGAAGGACAGGTCTGAACACGATGCCAAACTTTTTATAACCAACAGAATATGGAAACTTAAGATTGGGTATATACATTTTGTTTCTTTTATCAGTCACTTATAAATTCTACAACCATCACCTGAGTAGGCAGACATCCCTAATGGCCTTGGCTTTTGCCAGCTTCACTTCGTCCACCCCTTCCTTAGTCAGTATGGCTTCCGCTGGCTCCGAAATGGCCTTCAGAAGGTACGGGAAGCACCTGTCTTGTAGCTTCCAGAGGTCCACCAGCAACTGTATGGACAGAGCCTTCAAACGAGGAGTGGATCCGAAAGTTTGTATGGTCCTTAAGACAGGAGGGATACTGAACTGTCAAAATACATCAAAATTCACATGACATGTAAGTCAATACCTATTGTGAAACAAACAGGATGACAGAATACCAGACCCTGGGAAGGGGTCATGCAATGCCCTGTGTGCTGTCAAAATATGAGGGCAATGCATTAAATGTGCACTTTTCAATGCCTACTCCCTTCAAAATGTGAGAGAGCACAAATTTCTAGTTTCTTAGTGCTTTTAGTAAACTTCATGGAAGCTAGAAGGAATCTGTGATATACAGTAAAATCAGAACCACAGGCAAACATATTGACATCCACTGGCAAGGAACCACACTTTCCCTCCCATTAATATTCTGGACAACTGATCAGCTTTACAAAAAGTCACACACGTAGAAAATAATGGATAACAACTGCTTCTTACCATAAAGTTCCATTGCAACAAAGTCTATTTAACTTGGCCTGGCCCTTGATCACTAAACTGATTTTTTTTTTTTAAATTGTTTAATAAAATTAAATTATTCTGAATACACATGAACTTCCCATGTAAGATGATGACTTTTTTGAAGTTAATGAAACTTGAAATAAAGAAATTACTTTCATCAATCTCCATCAAATAATTTGTCAAATCCTATCACATTTTTTGTTTTATTTTCCTAAATTTTGTTGTCAGAGATATATGCACTGTAAATCACTATTTATTCGCGAGAACTTTATTTTCGCGTAATTATGCGAGACGGTATGCTTGCGAAAATTTCATTCAAGCGTATTATAAAATTCCTTAAGAATATATAGTGCAATGACCACAATTCGTGAAACTTTTGTCTCGCTAATAAAGACTCAACGCAATATAGATGCGAAAATAAGGTGACGCGAGAATTAAGTGATCTACAGTATATGCATTATTGTAAAATCACACTATGATATAGATATATTTCAGAATGTCCCCTGGTATTTTGATATGGTCCCTAAAAAATACCCAGATGAGATGTTTTTCCCTAAACTTTGTATATGTACTGAAGTGAATTTAAGTTACATGTGATAAAAAAATTGAAGAGATTTTCTACTGTCATTTCACACAATTAAACTGCAGTTAGTAATTTACTAAAATTTCAAAATGGTTCCATAATTTTATGAATAGTGGGGCCATTGACTTGACTTTTCCAGGCACTGAAGTACTGATGAAATAAAGCTCTACATCATCATGGGCTTATAAATTCAGTAGAATACAGAGTTTGTACTTTAACATCACCTTGTGATGAGCTACATAAATAAACTTTAAACTTTGCTAGTACTTTGACTTTTACCTTTGTCATTTGACTGTTTCATTTTTCATTACCATGTGTTGAGCTACATGTACAGTAGAATGCTTTGTACTTTGATTTAATCTTTACCCTGTGTTGAGCTACATGTACAGTAGAATGCTTTGTACTTTAATTGACTTAATCTTTACCTTGTATTGAGATACATGTGCAGTAGAATGCTTTGTACTTTAATCTTTACCTTGTGTTGCGCTACGCTAGGGACAGCCTTCATGATGCTGAGCTTGTACTCTGGGTGGATGTACTTGTTCAGTTGGTAGATGTACAGGGGTAAAAAGTAGCATGCCTATGTAAAAAAAATAATTTTGTAAAACATCTTTCAAAATGAACTTTTTTGAGGTCAGTTGTTCCTATATATAAAAGGATTATGTTTACCACCTTAATATTTCTTAACCAATATTTCTTTGTATCATGAACTTAAACTTTCCAGGGTTGCATGTTTCAATTAACAATCATAACATTTAATAAAAATATATTTTCATGATTTTCCAGGCTTGAATTAGAAGACTTTGCCTTGTATGCCAAACATGTGGGAGATGTAAAGTACACGTCAATCTTTTTATCTCCCACGTAGCTACTTATTTCAGAAATGCACATATCAGTCCTAGAATTCCAGAGACCAAGGGACCTTAAATGTCAACTGAGCAGCATGCAGAAACTCCTCAACAGACTCACTAAAATATGCTAAAATGTATCTTTATATGTCTTATGTTAATTTAAGTTTCAATGATAATAAAACATAGGTAATCAGAGATTACAGAGCTCACCTCAACGAATGTTGTCTTTAAGAAAGGCAAAGTCACACAATTACCCAATAAAAAGTGTACATCCAAAAATGCAAAATTTATGCAATTTTGATCTCATACTTTGGAATAGACCTATATAAAAACTTCAAACTAGTTCTTCATCACGAAATGTGATCAAAATCCAGCATCTGAAGCAAGCTTGAGAGTTTTCATCCCTTGATGTATCATTTGGGCTAGTTTGGTTTATATAAGCCTTATAGTTTCTTGGTAATAGACCTGCACCCATAACTTTTACCTGGTCCATTATCTGGAAAATGTATCTCGAATTCAGCATCCGGAGCAAGTCCATTAGTGTGCATCCTAAGATGTATCATCCATGCGAGTCTGCACAACACAGGGCTAATAGTTACTTAGAAATGAAACCTTCATAAAAATTTAACCTTTTCACTCATCCAGAATAAATGTAGGTCAGATTCAGCATCCGAAACAAGCCTGGTAGTATGCATCCTTAGATGTACCATCCATGCAAGTTTGGTCAACATAGGGCTCATAGTATAAACTTGGAAATGAATCCTGCATCAAAAACTTTAACCTGTTCACTCATCTGGAAAATGTAGGTCAGATTCAGCATCCGAAGCAAGTCTGGTAGTATGCATCCTAAGATGTATCATCCATGCAAGTTTGGTCATTACAGGGCTCATTGTAACTTGGAAATGAAAACTGCACTAAAAATTTAACCTGTTCACTCATCCGGAAAATGTAGGTTAGATTCAGCATCCAAAGCAAGTCTGGTAGCATGCATACTAAGATGTACCATCCATGCAAGTTTGGTCATTATAGGGCTCATATAGTATCTTGGAAATGAAACCTGCACCAAAAACTTTAACCTGTTCACTCAACCAGAAAATGTAGGTCAGATTCAGCATCCGAAGCAAGCCTGGTAGTGTGCATCCTTAGATGTATCATCCATGCAAGTTTGGTCAACATAGGACTTATAGTTACTTGGAAATGAGACCTGCACCAAAAACATTAACCTGTTCACTCAACCGGAAAATGTAGGTCAGATTCAGCATCCGAAGCAAGCCTGGTAGTATGCATCCTTTGATATATCATCCATGCAAGTTTGGTCAACAAAGGGCTTATAGTTACTTGGAAATGAAAACTGCACCAAAAAGATTAACCTGTTCACTCAACTGGAAAATGTAGGTCAGATTCAGCATCCGAAGCAAGCCTGGTAGTATGCATCCTTAGATGTATCATCCATGCAAGTTTGGTCAACGTAGGGCTTATACTTCCTTGGAAATGAGACCTACACCAAAAATGTTAACCTGCTCCAAAAACATTAATCTGGTCATTCCTTTGCTGAAATTGCAGCATCTGAAACTTTGACTGGTACAATGAAACACACTAGAAGCATCTTCCATGCATGTCTAATCAACATAGGACACAGAAGTACTTAAAAAGAAAACTGCTCCAAAAAACTTAACCTGGGATGCCGACACCGACACCGACGCCGACACCGAGGGTATTACATAAGCTCCCCCAACTTCGTTGAGGTGAGCTAAAAATACTCAGTTCTAAAAATAATTATACAGTTATAAAGTTTGTCTGCTAGACATCCAAACCACTAGCTTTTAATGCAATTCCAACCTAATGCTGCCATGGATCAGGAACCTATATTTTTACTTAGTATAGGGATAGGCAACTCTCACAAGTTTTGTGATATGTCGTAAGTTGCGAGATTTCTTAAGTCAATTTTAATTAAATATATCTCTAATGCTATAAAATATTTCAGATCAAAATCTTAATTTATCTATCAGAAAATTAAAGATTTCTTATAAAAACTGTTTATAATTACCTTATCTTAGTAATAAGAGCATTTATTTCAAAATCAACATGTTTCTGATCCGTGATCGGCTGTATTTTCAAGAATTTGCCAATATTGGTGTTTGTGTGATTAGTATTTAAATTATAATGTATGCTTTAAATTAAGTTTTTTAAAATACATTACAATATACAAAAGGAACAGATTACATTATATAAACTTAGTTTGAAAAAACTTGTAGTGTTGTGCGTGATGTTTTAGGTAAATAAAGATGGAGCTGAAGGAGTTGCCTATCCCAAAGTATATAGGTCGATCACTTCAAGAACATGTACCTTTCACCCAAAACATACCCAGAACTCAAAAAACAGGAAATGGAAGATTCACTGTCATATAGGTCATTCAAGCTGAATATATTGATTGTACTAGTGCCTATGATAAGTAAATATTTATGCTTGGAAATAACTGAGAATAAATACCCAGTATGGAATCGTAAATCTGTTAAGTTGTAACTTCACTGTAGGTAGATATAATTCAAGCTTATATATAGATATATGTAGCTGTAGTGAATGATGCTGACCAAAATCTCAAACCCAGTTGTACACAACTCAATATCTAAACTTAGAAAAAGCAAAATACTGTAGGTTATGATTTATTATCCCCTCATTCATTTTCTTTCTATGGTTTCATTGATTTGAATATGTGAAGATCCAAAAAAAGATGACAAAATTAAAATATATCTATTTAAATCAAGGAAGCATTTGCCATCCATTCTGGTAAAAATTATGACAGTTCTGTTAAACACAAATGGAAAAACTTTACCCCCCCCCCCTTCCCCATCACAAACACAAGCTTGTTTATTATAACAATACATCCTTTCCCACTCTGTTGTGAGGGGGGATAACAGATAGAAATTAACAATGTTTTTTTTTATTGTATAGAATCTTAATTGGGTAGGAGGTATAAACAAGACAAAATTGAAAATAGGACTGGGATTGGATTCCAATAATACAGAATTTAATCAGCCAGCATAGCAATAAAACCCCTCCACTATCTAACCCTTGTGTCTATAAAGTCTTGTGTTTTAATTTCCCTATCATACAGAAGCTGACAATAATTTACAGGATGTAAGAAAAACAATTTCTGGTGTTCTATTCGAGGTAAATCAACACTGTAAATTATCCTGTCCAATAACTGGAGGCCTGTAGAGAACAAGAGGCAATCTAGAATTTATAGGTCCCCGAAATTAAGCCTAGTTTATCCAGGAATTTAAAGCTGTTGTAGAATCAGTGTTTTTATGATCTCGTTCAAATTTCATATTTAAAGACAGAAAAACATAAATGGTAGTGTCCCCATTCTCAATTGTATGAGTCTAAGAATAAGAGACTTATAAACTAACTATCCCCACTCTCAATTGTGTTAGACTGAGTATAAGTATAAACTAACTATCCCCACTCCCAATTGTATTAGACTGAGTATAAGTATAAACTAACTATCCCCACTCTCAACTGTATTAGACTGAGTATAAGTATAAACTAACTATCCCCACTCTCAACTGTATTAGAAGTATAAACTAACTATCCCCACTCTCAATTGTATTAGACTGAGTATAAGTATAAACTAACTATCCCCATGCACTCTCAATTGTATTAGACTGAGTATAAGTACGCAGCACAGTTAAGGTTACAAAAAGGAGGCGGAGCCTAATTTGTACAGGAAAACTTGACTATGACATCATACACAATATACGTCATACAACATTTCTTTAAAATACCACAAAATGAGTTTATCTGCTAATTAAACCAATAACAAATCATCAAACTAGATAAAAAATTACTACAGCGTGTTGTTTTGTCCATAGTTAAATCCCACATAACAAGTTATAAACAAGTCACTGATCGCAATACAATTGTCAATATGACGTCATTTCTTACAACGTGACGTAGTTTGTATGCAGTGAGAGACAGATCAAGTAAAATTTTCTCGACAAAATATGTATTCTTTAATCAAATAAAATATTATTTACAGATATTCTATGGGCCAATGACTTGAATTTAATGTCTTCTTCACTATTTTATTAATATATTTTCTGTACATTACGTATTTAATTGACACTGCCGTATATTTGTATGCAAGTACACCGGAGGACAATGAGAGGGTTCTTATTTAAATCGATCTAGTGCAAGGGCATACACTCTATGGATCAAAGTAAGCTTTTACATTTCAACTATAGAACTATTAAGGTATCTGAAAAGTGCTGCGATCCTGATGAAATCTTAAAAACAAATTTATTATATCAATATTTTATGCCACTGACCAGCAAAAAATATAGCATTCGGTCATACAAGTATAATTTTAACAATGAAATTGCAGAATTTAAACAGGATCGCAGCACTTTTCAGAAACTACAATGCGTGTTGAAAATATTTATATACTAAACTTGGAAATTTAACTTGGTTATGCCCTTGCACTAGTGATATTTATATGTAACATCAATAATTCAAGTCAATGTGCTAAAATCGCGTGACTGTCGCATCATGTGACTTTTCTAAATATAAAATATAATCGTCCGCGATATGTAGTTATTAATCATAATTACAACTATCCGATATAAATAATGTACTAAAAATAATCGCCATCCCGATTACGAATACACTTTTAAATACAAAATCTAGTCGATATTTCCATTGCGCACCTTAACTGTACCGCGCATAAACTAACTATCCCCACTCTCAATAGTATTAGAAGTATAAACTAATTATCCCCACTTCCTTTACACAGTCTAATTGAGTTTTTTACATTTGGCTTGAGAATGCAACTCCAATACAAAAAGAGCCCATCCTATTTATATAAAAACAAAAAACTTTTACAGCAGTAAACAAGTAAACAAAGTAATTGATGGAGCAGATGCCCTTTCTGTTTTTTGTCTTAGACCAACAACCTAATGCATATGAGGACTGTCATCTCTTCTAACAAGAGGCCCATGTACAGAGCCATAATATTCACTGCAGCCCATTATGTTCTTCAGAACATGTTCATCTTGGAATGAAGTACAAGTACAGGTGCTTCACATGTTTTATAATTTCTTTTCCCAAATAATGTCAGACAGAGATTTATAAGTACAGCTGCCCATTACACTCACAGCTACAATCATCCTTACCCCCTTCTATTATTTCCTCTCTAAAAATTCATTCAGGTTAAGATCATAAACCTGACAGACAGACAAACAGACAGGATAACTTTGAAATAAACCAAAGTAACATTTTGGGACCTTAGAATGGTACCTGTTTATGATCAGCCTTGGAGATTGCTTGTAAGGCCTTCAGTGATTGGTCAGCCCAGGGTTTCCCTGGTGACAACACAAAGAGAGCAGATACAGTGATGGACAACTGGACTGGCACAAGCTTCAGTCTGGAGACAGAATTGACCAAGTTCTGGAGCCACAGTCGGGGAAAGTCCTCCCCCTTTTCCAATACTCGAGCCAGAAACGAAAAATTATCATTCAGAAAGGTGAAGGATGTCAGGTGTGGGGTAAACTGAGATGTCTTCTACAAAGAAAAAAAGGAACGCTTATCTTCCTTAATAAAAAAAAAAGTCACAAAATGTAGAAAAGTAGATAAACAATAATGAAAACATGATCTCTATCTTCTAATAACAATTAATCATTTCTCTATAAGACAGTCATTGAACAAAAAAAAATTCAAAAAAATATAATGTGGAAGAAATATCACTTCCAACCCTTTGGAACCCAGCTTTTATGTTTCCTTAACAAAGTTATCATGACTTTGGGATGAAAATACCAAGCATATATCAACAGTCAAAATACCTGCTTTATGTACATGTGACACTCATGGTGAGAATTTACTGGAAAAGAGCATAAAACTTGCAGGAGGAGAAGCATTTTGATAGTATTTCAAAGAATTTTCTATTTTAAGCAACCACAGTAACACTGTTCATTAAAATCAAAAACTATTATATGTCTCTTTGTGTAGTCTACTTGTATGCCAAATTATATTGAAATTGGACCAAAACTACAGGAGTAGCATTTTGAAAAATTACTTGCAGACAAATGGACAGATAGATAAGTGGACAAAGGACACCTTACTATTACATGAGTTCTTCTGGTCTCTGACCAGTAGAGATAAAAACAAGAGGCCCAAGGGCCTTGAATCGCTCTTCTGATAAATTGTACAACCTATCACTTGTATTTGAAGCCTCTAACCCTAAGTATCCTAAGACCCAAGTTGCATCAACTGACAAAGTTTCATAATTCTTAGCCAATAGGACTGAAGATATTTTAATAAAGCTATAAAAAACCATGAGTATGTCACTGTGACCTACTTTAAGATTGAAGTTTTCTGAGGACTCAAGATGCATTAATAGACAAACTAAGATTGAAGATTCTAAGCAATTAAGTATTTGAGATATTCAAAAGTAGGTCACCTTGACCTACGGTTTGGTTTACATTCTTGGAAAACCAAAAATGAATCAACTGACAAAGTTTGATAATTCTTAGCCAATAAATACCTAAGATACTTAAATATAGCCATAAAATGTCAAAAGTAGGTCATCGTGACCTACATTTTAGTCAACATTTTTCAGAGTCCCAAGATGCATCTGCTGACCAAGTTTGATAATTCTAAGCCAATAAATACCTGAGATATTCAAAAGTAGGTCACCATGACCTACTTTTTGGTCGACATTCTCTGAAAACCCAAGAGGCATCAACTAACAAAGTTTGATGATTCTAAACCTATAAGTACCAGAGATACATAAATATAGCCATAAAATATCAAAAGTAGGTCACCATGATCTACTTTTTGGTCTTCACTCTCCGAAAACCCTAGATGCATCAACTCACTAAGTTTGATGATTCTAAGCCAATAAGTACCTAAGATACTTAAATATAGCCATAAAATGTCGAAAGTAGGTCATCGTGACCTAATTTTTGGTCGTCATTCTCCGAAAACCCAAGATGCATCAACTGACAAAGTTTGATGATTCTAAACCCATAAGTACCAGAGATACATAAATATAGCCATAAAATGTCAAAAGTAGGTCATCGTGACCTACATTTTAGTCAACATTTTTCAGAGTCCCACGATGCATCTGCTGACCAAGATTGATAATTCTAAGCCAATAAATACCTGAGATATTCAAAAGTAGGTCACCATGACCTACTTTTTGGTCGACATTCTCTGAAAACCCAAGAGGCATCAACTAACAAAGTTTGATGATTCTAAACCTATAAGTACCAGAGATACATAAATATAGCCATAAAATGTCGAAAGTAGGTCACCATGACCTACTTTTTGGTCGTCACTCTCCGAAAACCCAAGATGCATCAACTGACAAAGTTTGATGATTCTAAACCCATGAGTACCAGAGATACATAAATATAGCCATAAAATGTCGAAAGTAGGTCACCGTGACCTAAGTTTTGATCGTCACTCTCCGAAAACCCAAGATGCATCAACTGACAAAGTTTGATGATTCTAAGCCAATAAATACCTAAGATACTTAAATATAGCCATAAAATGTCGAAAGTAGGTCACTGTGACCTACATTTTGGTTGACGTTTTTTAGAGTCCCAAGATGCATCTGCTGACCAAGTTTGATGATCATAGGTCTGAAGGTAATCAAAATATGCCTCATAAACAATTTGAAAACAAATGCCTGCAAAATTCTAAAAGTAGGTCACAGTGACCTACTTTTTCTTAAATATGTTTTAAGGTCCCAAGATGCAGCAACTTACAAGATTTGATGATTCTAACCCTCTTAGTGTCTGAAATAATGGGATTAAATGTTTTAAAAAGGATAGGTCATAAAGTTCAAAAAGTAGGTCATGGTGACCTACTTTTAAGTTGACGTTGTTCAAGGACCCAAGATGCATCAACTGACAAAGTTTGATGATCATAGGCCTTAAAGTGTTCAAAATATGCCTTTAAATCAATTTGAAAACAAATGCCCGCAAAATTAAAAAAGTAGGTCACCGTGACCTACTTTTGAGTTAACATGATGTAAAGTCCTAAGATGCATCAACTTACAAGATTTGATGATCCTAGTCCTTATAGTTAGCAAAATATAAACATTTTTATTAATTGTAAAATTAGGTCAACTTTGAAGTGACCTTGAGACCACGCCCTTTGCCCCAGGGTCATGCCTTGAACAATTTTTAATCTTCAACATGTCCTGATCCTTGTATGTAAGTTTGGTGAAAATCTGCCTGGTGGTTCTGGAGAAGAAGATTTTTTAGCAACCAGTACTTTTGGTTGTGTTTTCCTGATTATCTCCCCTTGTTTTAGGGTCCCAACCCTTATTTTAGTACAAATGGTAGCCCTTGGGCCAAGGATACCCTGTGACAAATTTGACACTGATTGGCCAAGGGGTTCTTGAGTTATGGCCCATATTCTAAAAAGTTAACGCACACCGCACACCGCACAAATGGCCATAGCATTAGCTCTTTGAGCCTTTGGCTCAGAAGAGCTAATAAAAAAAAAACCTTTCTATTCTGATGCTAAAGATAGTCAAAGTTAACTTTCGAAAAAAAGGTCAAAGTTCTAGGTCAAGGTCAAAAGACCTTAAAATGATGCATGTGTAAATGTATGGAAGGCCTGTCTAATCTCATTCAAAGTTACAAACAATGTTAAAATTTTGAAAAAGTAGGTTTAACTTCAAGGTCATGATGACGTGTCAAAAAACAAAAATCATAATGTATACAGAAAGGTCTGGTCAAAGGCAATTCACATGTGTGTGAAATATGCATGAATGCCCTATTTTTTCCCATTGAAAAGTTATTAAGTTTTTTTTTTTTAAATTAGGTCAGTCATTGAATATTAAGACATGTTAATGAATGTGGGAAAAAAAAATGTTAATGAGCAAATAAATCTTGGCCAAGATATGATTTCCAACTGACATAATTATTAAATATTAATATTTCCATTTCCAGTTATTTTCCCTATGATAAACACTACGAAAGTGAATCTTGTTAATTTCATGCTAATACCTGTGGTATGTATTTCTCTATTGAACTACTACTGAAAGGTCAAATGTCAACCTGCATGTATATATCACTGGCGTATAAATACACTAAAGAAAAATAGATGTTTTTTTAATTGTTTACTAAGTAATTAGATATGATATATCTTTTAACAAACAAAATAAATAATGAATCATCTTCGGATCAAAAGTAAGTCACTAGCGCAGCGCTGTCCACTTTCACCGAAGTCTCGCGAGACCGAGAACACCACTTCCGTAAACGTGGTAAACAGCCCATCTGAACCACGTGGGGAAATCGGCATTGCCACATAGATCTTCTCTCCATCATCTGATACAGACATCATCCCTCAGTCATTACCATTCGACTTCTTAAGCAACGCAACTTCCTCTGCTATTTTAACATCCACATAAATCTGTTTCCAGACCATGCTGACCAACTCCGATTTCATCAACTGCATTGCATTCAATATATGGTGGCGGAGAAGTGACATAGGGCCTATACACGTGTTCGTGGTTCCGACAACTTAAATCTAGGTCACATATATAATTAAAGTTAACAAGATTGCTTTGATCATAATTTGAAATTCTTTTGTCGTTTATTTTGTAAATATTGATATTTGACTACAGTACCTAAATAATCAATAAATTTGTTTCGTGTTTTTATGGGACTATTTTTTTATAGTAAAATTTGACATCATGGGACCTTGTGCATTTCAAATCTACTAAATTAGACGGTATTTCAATTTATTTTAAGATTGTTATTTTACGTAAAAATGGAAATATAAGGAATCACTGTCTTTGCCCATTATGCAAATTATCCCATGTTTCCCACTATTGTTGGTGTCCCTGGCATACTCTCCTAACTAGACAGTGATTCCTTAAATATCCACTTTGAAAATAATAAACTAAAAGGTCACCTTGAAGATGAGAAACTTTCATTAAGAACACATTTCTGGTTTGATCTTAGTATATTAAGGTTATAATAATTAATCTTAAGATTTTTTGTTCAATCTTA